GCCCAGGTCAGTAGGGAAACAGGCCCGATCTGGATCTCCGTTACACTGGGGTAAATCTAGACGGGCTCAGTTGAAGTGAGTGGAGTTATTCCAGATTTACACCAGAGTTAGTGAGAGGAGAAGCTGCTTCTCAGTTGGCCACATCCCCTCAAGGGAGCCCTTCCACTGCCCCCTCCCGCCCCCCGAAAATCTCTGCCTTGGACAATTCGGGTTGTGACTGCGGCCATGGGAGGCCCTGCTACTCTGCCTAACAACAGGGGCAGCGCATTCCTGAGCAGACTGGAGAATGACCTGCCCAGGGACGTTCCTGGGAGCTGAGGAAGGGACTCCCATCAGGCTGCTCACTGCAGACCTTGCTCTGCCTCAGGGAAGGGACGCAGGGTTTGAATGCAACCTACCCGAGCAAGAGGTGAGGATATAGACCAAGACCGCTATGCAGCTACTGCTGATGAAGGCCAGCAGCATGTCGTTACTGAAGGTCCTCCTCACTTCATAGTCAAACAAATCCGTCCCACCGTACAGCACCTGCACTTTGCTGGGGTGGGGAGAGAGGAGGGAGAAGGCACAGAGGAGAATATACAGTGAGCAGGGCCGGAGGATCGAGCCAAATGCATCTCCTCCAAAACCAGAGGGAGGCCACGCGTGTGAAGCACCCGGGAAGCTGCTGAGCGACCGGATCAAGATTGCAAGGAGGGGTGGCCGAGGTTTGCATCAGGAGAGCAGGTCGCATATTTTTAAAATTCCTCCGGTGCATTGCGGTCAGAGATGTTAATAGAGTTCTTGCTGTCAGCAAACAGCTCCGGAAGCTTCCAAAGCCAATCCCATCTGGAATCTTAAATCATTGCTTATTATATTAAGCGCAGATGTAATAACTAGAGGGGGCAGGCAGAGCCCGGGTCCTGTGAACCGCTGCATGATTTACCAGCCTCTGCTGCTGGCAGCTGGTTCTGAGCAGAGGTAATCCGAGATAATTAAACCCAGGAATACAATAGCCCTGCACCGCAGGAGCATGCCCTTAATCCAGCCTTTTTAAGGGTTTATATGCACCCGCGTCCCTATTCCCCTCCCTGCTCCCCATAATTGCAATCCTTGCCCAGCCCCATACTGAGAGGACTTTCCCACTGCTGCAATTTCAGAGGTGCCCCGCACTGGCTGTATTTCACTTGGCTGATGAAGATCAGAGGCCCCGCAGGTCAGGAGAACCGAGATCCGGAGCAGCAGATGGCCGGAGAACAAGAAGTTACACCTGACACAGGCAGGTGGCCCGCTGGAAAGCCCTCTTCCAAGCTGCTGCCTGGCCATCCGGTTCCCTGGGACCACTCCCCCGTACTGACCAGACGAGGTTCCCCCTCCAAGTGCTGGAGCAGACACAGAACAAAGCCCAAATCCGACCAGCTGGCTCCCAGCAGCACAGAACCCCAGGGAGGCAAGCTCACATTTACAGGGGGAAATCCTGCTCCAGGTAACACTCACTGGCTCTGCTAGGCTTAGTGATGTTCCTCCAGCCTGACACCAGGAGCAAGAGGAGAGTCAGGCCCTTAAATTGCTAGCTTTAATTAGACTCATCCACCCCTTTCAACAGGCCAGTATGTCATCAAGGGCCAAATTCAGACCCGTGTGAACAGAGGCAACTCTGCCGAAGCCAGTGGGATTAGACTGGTGCAGGACGGATGCAAGTGTCACCAAGATTAGCCCAATGCATCTGTATACACCTCCACCTGATTGAACCAGGCCCTGCAAGGACAGCCTCACCTAGCGCCAGGTTCTGCTGTCACCTGCATACCCCCAGGAACCCCCCAGACTCAGGCCTTGCCCCTCCCCCCCACCCACACACACACATTGTCCCATGGTAACTGTACTGGTATAGTTAAAACCGTACAAGCACCCTAGTGTGGATGCAGTTATAGCTGTATAAAGACGCTTATCCTGTTAGAGCTACTCCCGTATGGGAAGGGGACTAAGGTGTACTGAGGTGAGGCACCTTTACACTGATATACTAGGCCATCCTTTGCAGCTCCTCCTGAGTGCCACCCTGGCAGGTGAGAGCAGAATCTGGCCCTCTGGACTGGAACACCCTTTGTGTGGGGGAGTAATTCTGCGCGGCTCTTCGCAGGAACGGCTGCCCTGGGCTTGCAAGCCGAACCCCACGCCAACTGGCACTGGCCTGAGGCATTAGGTCCTTGCACGGTCTCATACACGTTGCTGGGGCCGTGTGGTATTAAAGCACAGAGGAACTGTGTGACCCATTCATTGCCGCGTGCTCCAGCACCAGTGGCAAGGGCGTTCTGCAGGCCTGCTTTCTTTCCTTCCTTGTGCTGGCCACTGCCCAAGGGAGGAGACCACCCAGGCTGGCCAATGGTCCGAGCCGCTCTGCCAAATCCTGCACTCCTCATTCCAACGCTGAGGAGAGCCTCCTAATCGGACTTACCCTGGCAGGGTTCATGGGAGCGTGGCTGCATGGCACCTCCTGCATTAACCTCAGAGCCTCGCCCCTCCAGCATCAGTAACAGCTGAAGGAAGCTGGATTAGCCCCTCGTGCACCTAACACGCCAGCTGTTCCTCTAATGTAAGTGACAGACAATCTCCCCCCCTCCTCTCCAGTCTCCTCCCTTCCCTGCAGGCTGGATACTAAGTCACCCAGTCCATGCACGGTCCTCCCACCTCACCTGGTGGACTGCTTGGCCAGCATGGCCACGTAGGTGACCACGAAGCTCTGGAACTTGCTGCGCTGCTCGTCCCACCTGTCCTCCACCGAGTAATAGTTGGGCAGGGGGGCCCCGAAAAGGATCTCGCTGCGGAGAAGGGAGCTCTTCATGTTCTCCGCCGACAGCCCCTCATCCACATACCAGTAGAACTCCGGGTGGGTCATGGCCAACTCCAGGGACCCTGCGGGAGAGACCAGCACAGAACCCTTTAGGTCACGCTCTGCCGGCTGGGTGTGGTGTATGGGGCCAGCCTGACGCTGACAGAGCCCCACACGCTCTCGCCCTCTCTCTCATCAGAGAGCAGCCGGCTCAGGGGGATCTCTCCCATCCCATCCATCTCCGACCTCTGCTCTCCCGGCCGGAGAGCCACCTGGACAGCCCGGCCTGAGAAGGGGATAGGCCGACAAGAAGGCTCGCAGCTGTGACGGCCATCCTGTCTCCACGCAGTTGCTTTGCTCCCCACGTCACCTGCGCTCGGAGCTAAAGGGTGGCCACACCGGTATCAACCACAGCTGCTCTGAACCGGTGGCCTGGAGCTCAGAAACCCCAGGCCCTGTTACCCAGAGAGAGAATCTTAGGAGAGGGTCCTGAGTGCAGTGATCGGAGAAGCCCACAATGGGAAGATGGAGCCAAACATTCCCCATGGGAGATCAGGGGCGGGGTCATTAGGGAATCCTGCCTCTGCTGCAGCCCCACGGGATCAGGATCATCCTATAGGGTGGGATGCACTAGCAAGAGTGTGCCCCTACGCAGCATCGTATATCACGCAGGCCAAGGCCACCATTGATCGTAGGGTTGCCATGGCCAATAAACCCTGTGGCTCCTGCTCCACCCAACTCCGGTGAGGAGCTGGGATTCCCACGCATGCTGGAAAACACAGTCCCACCGAATGGAGAGCACATTGCTTCCAGGGCCCGGCAGCGAACCGAGCCGGGTGGCTCTGAGTCACAAATCTGTGAATTCTAGGTTGCAACGAGTCCACACGGCGGGCTCCAGCAGCAAGGACCCAGGGCCTATTTTAACGGGTAGCAGAGCTGCTGCTTGCAAGGGAGCAGATGGAGTAAATCACTTGCCTGCTCCCTGTATGCCGCTCTGGCTGGCTTTCAATCGGCAGCATATGCCTGGGAGACAGATGGAAGCTGCTTCCCACAACCACATCTCTCCCACGGACTAGCAATGATTCACTTCCAGCTACCCTGAAACCCTCCCCTGCAGGAGGGGTGGCATTAGCATTGTAGATCTGCTGCGAGGAGTCAGTGCTCCTCCCCCTGGCCCCCCAGCACCTACCTCCCGGTGGCAACTCACAGGCAGTCATTTCACCCCGCAGCCGCTAGCTGATCTATGATGATCTACACTCGGAGCTAGGGGGGTGACCCAGCTGGGGTAGGCAGTGGGGCTGCAGTCACACAGGTAGCAGGCATGGGCCAGCCAGCCCGAGTACATACCTAGGGGGTCCAGGCGGGTTGGTACTCGGGGGCAGCTAGTCCCTGCTCTCCGGGCTCTTGCAGCTACACTAGTATTTGTAGCATGCTAGCTTGGTGAGAGCCAGTGCGAGCACGTCTACGTGAGCTGGGAATCACCCCCGCGCCCAACTCCAAGTACAGACGTAGTCATGGACAGGAGGCTCTCCAAGGCAAAACGATTGTCTGTACAGGGCCTAGCACAGAGGGCCCCTGATCTCTGACTGGGATTCCTAGGCGCTATGATAATCACTAGCAGCGGGTCCAGGGCTCACTGTCTGACTTGGGGATCGGGCAGATGATGGAGGGGACAAAGGGCCTGATTCCCCATCGCTCTGCACCTCGCACTGCCATTGACACCGGGTGCAATTAAAGCAGAAGGGCACCCGCTTTGCACTGGCGTTCGTGACAATACGAGGGGCAGGGCGGCAGAGGATCAGGCCGAAAGGACTCAGACCCAGGACCCTTGCCCACCAGTGCAGGGCTTCTGCCAGGTCCCCATCTCAGTGGCATGAAGACTGGTACTAAGTCTTGAAACAGGGACGAGAGGGCAGATTCAGAGTCGGTTTCGCTGATCCAGTGACAAACCCACAAGGCCAGGGTGGGAAAACTCCACAGACATAACCCCTGAGACTGTCTGGAAAGGCAAAGGGAGAGCCCCATGCCCTAAAATCCTGAGCTCCCCATTCTACAGTCAGGCCAAACCTCCCCAGGGCGGACGGATATCAGCACTACTGTAGCTAATCTAGCTGGGCCCACAACAGAGGCACTGTCCAACCATACAAGGAGATCCAGGCCCGGGACACGCCTCAGTCCAAGTCCACCCAACTGCCCAGGCTCACCTCGGATGTCGGCCAGGTCTTGCCCCATGCCGTCATAGTAGATCTTGCCGCCCCGTTCGGTGGGGAAGAAGTAGGTCATGAGGGAGCTGGGAGGGGAGCAGTACGAGTAGGAGCCCAGAGGAAGATCCTTCAGGACCTCGTGGGGCTTCCAGCAGAACTCCCGGAAGTGGGGGTGGTCCATGACCTTCCGCTCGATCTCGTGGATGGTGAGCAGGCGCTCGGAGGTGAAGATGTTGTTCTCGGCATCCCCTCGGGCCAGGAAAATAAGTTCGATGCGCCAGTGGGCGTGCGTCTGGGTGTTGGCGCTGACGTAAGCGCTGGAGTAGTCCCAGTGCGGAGCGCCCCGGGCAAGGCGGGAGGTTTGGTTCCCCGGGCTCCGCCGGGCCTCGGGCCCAGCAGGGCTGGTCCTCCCTCCACCCACGGGAAGCGCCGCGCTGCGCTTTGGCCTGGCCCCACCGCCCAGCCCAGAGGCGTTGGGGTGGAGCTGCTGCAGCTGCTCGAAGATCAGCCGCTGCAGGGTCTCCGAGGTGAAATCGGCCAGGTCCCGGCGGTTCCGGCCCCACGAGCCGAACTGGGACTTGAGGGCCAGGGTGAGCGCATCGAAGCGCTGCGAGGACTCGTGGTTCCTGATCTCGAAGGCGTTGTAGGAGATGTCGATATCCAGGGTAGGGTAGTGGAGGAACATGACGACGGCCAGGGCGGCAGGGATGGCACAGCCCAGGAAGAGGATAACACCAGCACAGCACGGGTTGGTGAAGACCCAGCCGAGCACGTTCCAAAAGCCGGACGCCGGCAGCATTGTCGGCAGCGGCCTGGGATTCCACTGGCATTTGCCGCACAGCTGGGGACCCTCGCTCCTCTTCCGGGGGCCGAAGGCAACCTCCTCCTCCTCCTCGAGCCAAGCGTCTTGCAACAAGGGGTCATCCTCAGCGTCCATGTCCAGCGCCTGTTGCGAAGGGGGAGAGAAACAGGAGTGAGCAGGGCACCCGCAGGATGGAGAGAGAGCAGGAGGGAGCTGCGGCTGGGCCCACAGCGCCGCAAAGGGGCTGGGGGGGGGGCAGAGGAATTGTCCCAGACACCACAGACTTAGAGTCACAGCAATGACTAGGCATGCCGGGCTCGGGGGAGGGATGGAGTCCCAGGCTCCCAGCTCATTCAGGCCCCGGCCTAGACCTTGCTGCGCCGTGGCTACAGCCGTGCCAACCCTGCCTCCTTGCTAAGCTCCCATAACAGCCAAACGCCGGGACCCTGCCCAGCTCCATCCGCACCAGGCGCTTCAGACACAGGGATTGAAAGCGGCCTGCGCCGCTGTCCCAACTTCTGGCGCTTTGTCAGAGGGGCCCTGCGTGCCTCCAACGGCCATCGGACACAGCCCGGAGGGAATCTCTTTAGACACGCAGCCCCCACCTGCATTGCAGCAGCTGGGCCATTTCAGTTAGCCGGACCCCCCTTCGTGCCCGGGAATAGTTTATGCCGTCAGATGAACACTGCCAAGGACTTCTCGCACTAAGGCTGGGAACCCAGATATTTATAGCCGTGTTATGTATCTTCCCTGACAACACGCACAAGCACAATTCATCCTGGGCCTTGGTATCAGTCCCCAAACCTCGCCCGCGCGGGGAACGGGCAGCCAGGCGGGAATCTCCTGGGCAACGCGTGAAAAATGCTTCTAACTTCCAGGAGACAATTGCAACACCATGGTCCCCGAGGGCAAAAGCGGCGGGCTGGTTTACCAGCAGTTACCCCAACACTTCGGCCTAGAACTGCCCAGCCTCGGGCCCCCCCCCAGCCCCTTGCCATGGGAGTCCGTTGCCAGGGTTTACTGCATGAATTTGCATCCCTTGCTATGGAACAATTGGAAGCTACAAGCAATCCCCATGGCTAGGGCTCTCTGGGGAGGGCGGGGCCTGCTCATGGTGGGAGCAGCGGGGAAGACAAGAAGGACACCTCAGGGCAAAGCGCGAGCAGGGGGGCTTCTTTCCATAAGGAAGCTATTAGCACAGTGGTTCTTGGCCTAGCCCATCCTGGGTTAAAGAGAGGTGTGTTGGGACCCCCTCCTCTCC